ACAAACATAATTGTATGAATCAAACCAATAAGTTATGATCAATTTTTTTGTTAATTGGTTTATGGTCAGGGACCAATAGTTTTCATCTGATAATTTTGATGTGCAATATATGATTAATGAATATACTATGATGCACAAAGATAGATTCTCCAAAAGATTGAGATATATGTTAGGTTGTCTAACATAAGGGGGAGATTAGAAGCAACACAAAAGTTGTAAATACTCCTATTGAATGTCCCTTAAGGATAAAGTCTATGACATACATGAAGCATGATAGACTAATCAATTCTAAATAAAATAATCCTTGAAAAAGGGGGAGGATCAAAGAATCAAAATGATCATAATAAGGAGACAATGTGCTCTTGGAGAGCCTACGACATAACACTTTATGAAACCTCATGATAGGGGTAGCTACCTAAAAATAATGAAGTGATGAGATCTCAATAAGTTTTGTCGTATTGTAAATCGATACAAAATGATATATCTTTGACGATATCTTTGATACAATAGCGCGCAATATTGTAAAAGATTATGAGGATATGAATTCTACATCTATTAAAGCATACTTGTATAGAAATAATTATCAAGTGAAAAGTAGAATGATGCATCCTGGTAAGCGTAAAGCTTACTTGACTTGCAATCTAGTCACTAGAATATATCATACATTTAATATTGAATGTTATCACTTGACAAAATTAATATGAAAAGTCATGAAGGATTCAAAATCTAAAGTATGTGCAAGTTTTTGGAGAACTTGTTTATAATCTTTATAAGAATTAAATCGATATAAAATGCATGAAGCATATACAAATATTGTTGTGCAAGTTGATAATTAGAATTGAAACTCTTGAAGAGTTTTCAAAAGGCAATAGATTATTTGCTTAAAGAAGTTAAAATAAGGAACTTGCAGAAATCTTTGATCTTGAAGGAAAGATTCATAAAAGTAGATAGAAGAAAACATATTTCGTCAAGATTTTTCTACTCATGAGCTCCCAAGAATGGTGATATCAACATGCAAGAGGTATGTTCAAGTAACATTATTATTGATTTATTCACCAAGTCTCTATCAACTACAACTTTCAAGAAGATGATGCACAAGCTTGGAAAACGAAGATTCTAGTCTCTGAATTGATGTTGTCATTAGGGAGAGTTAATACGCGATGTACTCTTTTTTCCTCACAAGGTTTTGTCCCACTGGGTTTTCCTTGTAAGGTTTTTAATGAGGCATCCATAATGCGTATTATTAGATATGTGTACTCTTTTTCCTTCACTAGATCTTTTTCCCCACTGGGTTTTATCTAGTAAGGTTTTAACGAGGCACATAATCTATCGACATTCAAGGGGGAGTGTTATAAACATATTTGTGTTATAGTGAATGTCTAATTATGTGGAGTCCTTGTAGGATATGGTTAGGAATCCTACTTGGCGACCAAGTAAGGTTTACCCTATAAATAAAGGGTTTTCCTTCATTGTAAATAAGATTGGTCAAAGATCAATGAATCCTAATATACTTCAAGATGAATAAGAAATCTTTTCTCTTCTCCCTACTTTCTTCTTCTTCTAATTTTATATAATTTCATAACAGTTTACTCATATTTACGCACATTTTCATTGATAAATAGTTCTCTACTTAAGAATTCAACATGGAAAAAATATTTGAATTTTTTAGATGAAAATTGTTTTAGATACTTCATTTAGTTATATATATTGTATTATAAAAGTAAAACAAAATATCCTATAACTTTTCAATATGAAATAAATTTATGCAATAACAAGGGAAAAATATTTTTAATTTCAAAGTAAGTGAATATTTACATTTTAAGACTAAAACATGAATAATGCATTTTAAACAATGTCAATACTAATACATGATTTTCTTTTTTACATTATTATTTATTATCCAATACAAAATTAAACAAATAAAAATATAATTATAATTGACAAAGAAATGTACATTTAAAATAGGAAAAATTATGTGGGATGACAAACTATACTAAATAATTAATTAATAAGGATATAGTTTAATTTATTTACTCTCAGTAATTATAGTTTTTTTTTGCAGTAATTAATGAGACCCACCACCTATTTGTATATTAACCTATTTATGGTTTTGTATATAATTTTATACAAAATCAATTTTATCTCTTCTATCCACATTACATCTCTTTCTCCTAAAATCACTCCTTCACTCTATTTTGAATTTCAAATTTCGAAGGATTTTACGTTGTCCCTCCCATCTTGCTCTCAATTTTCGCAGGTAACCGCCCAAATCAACCCATTAATCTATTTTATTTTAATTTTTTCCTTCATTAACAATTGTATATATATTATGCTTCTTAGTTTTTCATATTTTCTTTTTAAAAAATCTTTCTTTTTATTAAATTACAAGATCTTCAAAATCAGAATGGAAGATCATCTCCATCTATAAGAATTACCTGCTAGAATGTTGTGTATATAGTTATTTGTACATTGAATTATTATATACAAAACTGATCAAGGCATTTGTGCTGTTATATTCATATTTTAAGTTTTTTGTATATTCAACTAGTTATATATGTATATAAATAATAACTTTTACAAAATTGATACAAGTATTTGTATAATAATTTGTTTTAAATCATAATATTTTTGTATTTTGCGTTATTATATACAAAACTGCTTGAGGGATTTATATATATACAAGTACTACAATCATATTTTTATTTATACATATACAATTACTTGTATATGTATATAATAATTACTTTACAATTTGATACAAATCAAATAATTTGTATTCATTTTATTTACATTCGTATATAACTTTGTTTATACATATATAATTTTTTTGTATATTTTTATATTCATTTTATTTACATTTGTATAAAAACTTTGTTTATACATATACAATTTTTTGTATATTCAACTAATTATATGTATATAAGTAATTACTTTTAAAAATTTGGTACAACTATTTGCATAATAATTTGTTTTAAATTAATTATTTTTTTTGTATTTTACGTTATTATATACAAAATTCTTTGAGGAATTTGTGTATATACAAGTACTATATTCATATTTTTATTTATACATATACAATTACTTGTATATGTGTATCATAATTACTTTACAATTTGGTACAAATTAAACAATTAATATTCAATCTATTTTCATTCGTATATAAAACTTTATATACATTAAAGAGTTTAGTTTCCCGGAAACAAGTTTGTATGGTCTTTTTGACGCTATAGAATTCTTTTGGGATAATTGTAGAGAATAACAAACTAATAAAAGTAATTAAATGAAGTAACTTACCTTTCATTTATTCCCTTTACTAAGCAAACTCTCGGTCAATTTACTATATTAGGACCCACAGATTTGTATAAAATATCTCCCAAAAATTAAAATCGTCCTTTTTCTCATTCCCCTTCATATTATACAATCTCTTCTCCTTTTCTTCAATTTCTCCTTAATATTCTCCACAAATTCAATTTCAAATTTCATACTTCTTTAGCACGTTCTTGCGGTTTTCAAAAGTATTTTAAAACTTTCAGGTACTGCCAAAAACTAATCTAATTTTGTCACTTTTTTCAAACTACCTTTTTATATCCATAATCCAATCAGATTTTTGTGAATCAATATGGGTGTGTTGCTTTCTTCAATTTTATACTCAATTTCGAGTTTAATCACATTCGTATCAATCCCTAGTTGCAGTTACAAATGACATTATACAACTCATTATACAATAGACTTTCTTTAAAACACCCCCTCAATTGTATAATCGACGTAACAATTGTCACTGTCCCACTACCAGAATGCATCACCAAAATAGCTAATGAAGCCATTTTCAAAAGTTCTATATGAAAAAAATAAATTATATTCATATACATTTGTAAGCTTCAGAATTTCAACAACAAACAGAACATATATTTATACAACTTATACACATTTTCAAATTATATCAAAAATCTTTATATACACAAAATTAAATCGTTAAACATACAAAAATTTTATACGATTATACAATTCACCAAAAACACTAAATAGGTATATGTATATAACTGACATATTCAAATAAACATACAATAGCTTCATACACTTATACATATGCCTATTTAGTATATGTGTATGAAATTATAAATGGCGTCTAAGATTATACAGAAAAAGATATCCATAGCAAACTCAAATTTTGCTATGGAACACTATTTTGAAAAGTTTACATAGCATAAAATTAAGAATTTTATATTTGCTATACATATAATTTGCCCTTTTTTCTATTTTAAAATGACATTTAATTATAGGAAAAATAATACCCTTAACTATATGAAAGGAACAAAAATGTTCTTCATTTGTAATTTAGTACAGAAGTCATCATTATTATGGTTCAAAAATGTCTTATTGTTATTTAATAAGTCAAAAGTATTTATTTTCAAAATAAATATATCACTTATTTTCTTTTTTAATACATTTTTTTTCTAATAATATTTTTTTAAAAGGAAAGAGGATAAATATACTCCCGACTATTATAAATGATATGTTGATACCCTTCGTCGTCTTTTTAGGACATTAATGACCCTGTTGTACAAAAGCTAAAGCATATATGACCTTCACTTTAGCGGAAGACTAAATAGAAACACGTGATCCAATGGATTAATAAATTACTTTGTTTGATTTTTTAGTTTGATTTCAAATTTTAAAAAATAAAAATCGAAAAAACCGAATTACAAAAAAAAATAAAACACACAAGCCATACACACACGCGCACGCGCACACATAATAGAGAAAAATACCAAATCAAATTTATTTTGAATAGAATTAAATTACACTTTTATAAATTAAAAATTGAAAAAATCAAATCAAATTATAGAAAATCGAATCAACAAACTAAATGCAAACCCCTAATCACCTCCTAAGAAATCACTCCTAATGAAACGAAATGATTTTTTAAAACTGAATAGTGAATATTTAATTATATTAAGAGGATAAAAGATGGTCCCTCAGACTTTAATAAGTATTAGTAGCATACTTTAATTAGCTTTGAGAAAAACAAATACCCTTAACCGGTATTCAACTCTCACTTTCTTCTTCTTGGTCATCATCTATCTCTCTTCTTTGAATTCATTTTCACGCAAGAAACCCACTTTTTGACCTTCATTCTACAAATTATACATCCAGTGAGGAAGATGAGATACAGAAGGGGTAAATGTGATCTAATGTATGTAATTGAAGGACTACTCTTTCTGACCAGTTGGATAATGGTAGTGAATGGGTCGATCCATGAGTACAAAGATGAAGCTTTCATTCCTCGTTTCAATTCATTTTTCTTTCATGGTGGTAGTGAAGGGCTTTATGCTTCTAAGCTTCAAGATTCCCCTCTTCTCCTGTCTGATGACACTAATAACAATAACAATAAACCCATTAATGGCAAATCCTTTATCAGGTACCAATTTTTTCAGTACCCTTTTGATTTTACTGTTCTACATTTGATTTTGAAGATATTCTCATGTTTGATGAATTGTTTCCTAGCTATTTCAAGAAATTATTTTAGTCTTGTAAGTTGTAGATGTGGGTGTGATCTTAAATTAAAGACGGATAGGGAACAATGTGATTCTTATTTGTTTTGTCAAGATTTAAAAAGGGTATTGATAACATGGGTGATGGGTTCTGAATGCGATTTTACAATGTGAAGGAGTTAGGTAGATGAATTTATTCTGCAGAATTATGTCCAATCAAACTTTTTTAGTGTGCTAGAAGAAGTAGAATGCAACAACAGTAACATACCGAGTGTATTCCAAGAGTGGGGTTTGGGGAGGGCGGCGTGTATAAGCCTGCCTAGTGAAGGTAGAGAGGTTGTTTTCAATAGACCGTCGGTTCAAGTAAAACATATCAAAATCAAGAATGTACTAGTGAAGCAAGTAATGCTGATAATACTGTAGATGAGAGTACTAGTAGCTAAATAATAAGATAACAGAGGCAAATGAAACAACAGGAAGTAATAAATAGAGTATGCAAAGAGTGGAATACATAAAGTTATGTTTTTTAAGCATTTGTTGGGGGTAAATGTTCTCCATGGAGATTGTTTTCTTAAAGAAATATTTTACCTCGCTATCATTATAAGGTAGGGGTGAGGTTTGCACACACACTACCCCACTGAGACCCTGCCTATGGGATTTTACTGGGTTTATTATTGTTGAAATCGATTTATGGATTAATTTCAGTTTTGGTTGCATACAAAGGTTGGTGAAACATTATTTTATACCAGGACAGTGTTTTGATGAAACATTTTATGATTAAAGATTGACAAAAAACTTCTTGGTGGAATAAGTCATATGGAGTAGAAGTTCGGATAGTTCTGAATAGAGAAAAATTTCTATGTGTTTTCTAGATATAAAATGTTTTGATGTTTGTCTTTGCATGACCAAGTTCTTTTTTATTTTATTTATCATTAGCTAATGCATTTTTTGGGTATTGATGGTGTGTGATTCATAAATAGAATCCAAATATGTGATAAATAATTTCAGTGACTCCATTGATGCCGTCCATAATGATTTCAGGTTTGAGTCAATCATTTTTAGAAGAACAAAGGAGGCTGCAAATAAGCAAAATGAGATGCAGCAGAGTACTGGAATCGTTGAAGCCATAATACTGGAGGTCAAAGACAGGAACGAAATTGGGGGTTCCTATCTGAATTCTGATGCAATATGCTGCACCCCTGCTCTTGCCAAAGATGGATCCTGCAAGGTAGGAGAGGTTATAATTCATCAAGATCCTGAGAACCCTGGGTGGCCAAAACGGATTCAGACGTCCTTTGAGGGAAACAGTGAAGAAGCTAATATGGTATTCCATAATGTTCAGATCAACAAGACTGGAATGTATTATCTCTATTTTATGTTCTGCAATCCGGAACTCAAGGGCACATTAATTAGTGGTAGAACTGTTTGGAGAAACCCAGAAGGCTATCTACCTGGGAAGATGGCACCACTGATGACATTTTACGGTTTGATGTCTCTAGCATACCTCATTCTTGGTCTCTTGTGGTTTTTACGGTTTGTGCAACATTGGAAGGATATAATACAATTGCACTATCACATTACTGCCGTGATTGGTCTTGGAATGTGTGAAATGGCTCTTTGGTATTTTGAATATGCAAATTTTAATGCCACAGGAAGCAGGCCAATGGGAATCACCATATGGGCTGTTACCTTCAGTGCTATCAAGAAGACTGTCTCACGTCTACTTCTTCTAGTGGTATCGATGGGCTATGGTGTTGTAAGACCCACACTGGGAGGTATAACCTCAAAGGTACTTCTTTTGGGTGTGGTATACTTTCTTGCTTCTGAAGCCTTGGAACTGGTTGAACATTTGGGAAATATCAATGACTTCTCTGGAAAAGCGAGAATCTTTTTGGTGTTACCTGTTGCTTTATTAGATTCCTGCTTCATCGTATGGATATTTTCCTCATTGTCCAAAACATTAGAGAAGCTTCAGGTGATGACAACTTTCCTTCTCTTTATTCTAGCAGTCATAAACTGGTCAAAAAGTTCTAGTCATAAAAATAAGATGGTTGATCAGTTTTACCTTCTTAAAAATAATAACATAAACAAAGGATGATTGATCATCTATGTACTGTCAGATTTTGTGCTTTCTCAATTTCTTCTTTGCTCAAAGGAAAAGATTGCATTTTCATCATAATCATACTCTTTTTCTCTTTTTTATTGTTTTGTGGAGGTAACTGATTCCTTTGAACTCTGGTTGGTAGACATGGAGAACTGCAACAATAGAACCAATAATAGTCCATCACACTCTTTTAACTCTTCTTAACATGCAGGAGAAGGTTTACATGATTGTCAACTGTTTTAAGTTGTTTTGTAATTTCTTTGACTGGAAAGTGTTATTGATCTTCTTCAATGTGGGAGGAAAACAACTCTCACATCTTTGTATGTAACTGAAAGCTTCTTTTTTGCCCATATGGACCTCAGGTTCGGAGAAGCCTGGCCAAGCTTGAACTGTACCGAAAATTTACCAATTCTTTAGCCGTTTCAGTTCTTCTCTCTGTTGCTTGGATTGGCTATGAGGTATCTTTTGTGGTTCTATTTATTTTTCTTTCCACAGTATTATAAGTCTCCCTGTATCTGGAAGTTTCTCTAAGTACTTAATGTACTATGCAAAAATGCATGTCATATCTTGTGCTGTTGATTATTTCCTCCAAAAGTTTCACTCTGCATCTCTTCATGTCATATCACTGTGTTTGAGTTTTCTTGATTTCTCTAGGAAAGCTAATTTCCTTGTTTATTCAGCTGTACTTTAATGCAAGTGATCCATTGAGTGAGTTGTGGCGAAGAGCCTGGATTATACCTGCTTTCTGGACCTTACTAGCATACTTGATTTTATGGGTAATATGCATTCTCTGGGCTCCTTCGAATAACCCAACCAGGTGAACATCCTTACCCCCTTCCTTTTATTTTCAATATGATTAGTATTGCTGCTATTGTTACTGTCTGATGATTACTGTAAAGAAATGAGGATTAAAACCTACTTCCAGTCATAGAAATATCTAAACGTGCATTGGTGATGGCTACTGAGTACCATTTATAAAGGGAAAGGATGGTACCTATTCATCATTAACTGTGATTTGATGCTGCAAAGTGAGTCTTTGGGCTACAGGAGAAGATGGTATGCACTATTCATTATCAATGACTGTAAGAGATCTATATTGAGGATTGGAAAACAAGTACTCAAGAGTGACAAAATTGTTGGGCTTCAATGTGTGGAGTTGGGCGGAAATATAGGATCCGTTCAGAATCATTTTTGGCATTTCTACTTGTCTGTACAAATAGTTTGTGCAGAATTTGTTTTTTTACAAGTATAACAATATGAGTTGAAAGATATTAGTGATTCTTTTGATGTTTATTTCCTAAATTGACAAGTTATATCAAAATGGATGAGCATTTTGGTTGTTCCCATCTTTTGATTTCATGGGCAAAAAAAGAGCCTTATATCTTAATAACAGAAAAACAGTTTGATATAGTTGGAAATTAGTGCATGAACAGATGGTCATACGAACTAATTAGGATAAAATTCTTCCAAGAAGGTTTATGGCTGCAACATCCTTTGCATGCGTAAAGCTCTAAATCTTTTTCATCAAGCCAGTACGAGTAATTATGAATTCTATGTGTAAATAATGATATCTGAAGCTCCGACATAGTTCTTGTGCCTTTCCAACTGTTCTAAGATTAAGTAAAGCCTATAGAAAACCTGTATTGTTTGTCCAATGTATTCAAGGTTGGGTTTTTATGAGTTTGGATAGGTTTGCAAAAATTAGTTCTCTGCTGGTGATAGTGTTTGTACTTTGCGAGAGAAAAGGAAAGTTGGAACTTAGAAAATCTGTATATTCCAGATTTTGGTTTTATATGCTGTCATTCTCTCAATGTTGTAAAATAGTCTCTAAATTTGGCATCTGTTTGCTACTTCACAGATACGCATACTCAGGGGAGGGTCTTGATGACGAGGAGGAGGGTCTGTCCCTCACCGGCAGTACTGTTATAGTGGGAGGAGATCTGTCTAAACTGGATAGGAAGGAGAGGAAGGCATCTATTACAGCAGATCATGTGTTTGGTCTTGGAGAAGTTGTCCTTGAGGAGGACAAAAGAGCGTGATGATATATTATTTTCGGTTGTTCTTTCAACCTCCCATTAACGCATGGACACAAGAAGTTTGCCCAGATACTATTTATACCTCCTTTTTTTTTTTTCTATTTTTCATAGAAGATCAGACTGAAATTGGTGGTGGACTGGTTGGAGATAATGAAGTTGGATGGAGAAATGAAACAATGTTGCATGGAAGATTGGCATCTTTCTGGAGCTTCTCTTGTTGACGAATAGCCGGAGAAGTCCAGCAAGTGAGCTTGGTGGTGAAGTCTAGTTCTTAGGGGCAATTACAATTGTAATTGAAACTTCAAACATATTGGAAGTGGATCGGGGTTCATGCTAATTTAGAGAGGATACAAAAAGATCCTTGTGGTGGTCTTATGTGATTAACCAAATACATCAAATTCAAAATATGAATGCTTACTTATTATATGCTATAATACTTTTCCATTATGAATACTTTTTTTTTCCTTCCCCTTTTAGGCTGGATATACTCTTTCTTCACTTGTTGGCCTTTGAAAATACTTTGGTTTTATAACCAGAATGCAAGATATGCATCTGGCATATTGAGTAAAAAAAAGAATAAATTACCTAAAATATAATGTATATCATATTTTAAAGGGCTTTTTTCGAAAAGATAATTTGCTATTTAGATATGTAGAAGGAAAGAGCAATTCATTAAGTTAGTTGATTTCCAGGAAGCAGGATGGAATTTATTATTTCGATTGACAAATGAGGGTTTTAATTACCAGTGTCAACTCTATCCACCACTTAGGTTTTTTTAATGTTATAACTTTATTCAATTCAAGGTTGCAATCAATAAACAATTAGACAAAAGAAATAAGGTTCATTTCACAACTCACAAAGGTATGTATGTATGTGTGTTCTTTGCTTGATTTCTTGATTTGAGTTTCATTTTGATACTAAAGATTCCATCTTTTTCATCAAGACTCATAAGTGGGTGTTTTTCTGATTTGTTCATTGAATAATGGTGTTTTGCTTTTGTCAGTAGTATAAAGAAGTAGATGGGTCCACCATGAAGGTGCCAATCCATAGGATGATCCCTTACCTTGCATGCATATATCTTTATGGCCTGTTACCCTTTTCTGCACTGTTTGGGATGGGATGAACATAGACATCATCAACACAAAATATATGAAAAAGCTAGTGGTAAAGAAATCTTTACACTGATAAGTATATATAACTTAAACATAGTTTAGAGGATAATAAAAAGTCATATACTAGGCTATCATCATACAATGAATTACTCCGCTCCACAAGATGGGAATTTGAATTCTGCATAACTGAAAATATGATGCCTTGGATTTGATCTCAAAAGATAAATCGACATAAAAGATTTAACTTCACGAGTCATCATTAGACTGATCGACTCTCATAATAACAATTATAACTCAATACATATTCATATCTCTCTATCCTCTGCATTGCATTATTTGGCATCTTAGCCTTTCGACATCAGAGTGTTTCAGAGGCTTCAGCATAAATATTTGAGCTCCTTCTTCCATGCATCTGTCAATAGTACACAAATCTTTGTTCAAATATCAGAGCACAAAATAATGAAAGTAGAAAGAGTTTGATGATTACTGATGAATTCGAGTTGGGATATTCTCAGATGACATGATCACAACTGGTACATCCTTCATCATCGACGATTCCTGTTTGCAATGCATTCAATGGTATTGAGTTCAAATTCTTAAAGGAATAACTAAACTAAAGATCCAAAAAACTGTTAGTACCTTGATTTTCTTGAGAAGTTCATAACCAGTCATTCCTGGCATACAATAATCTGTTATGATCATATTAACCTTTGAGCCCTGCACAACAAATTAAAAGTATATTCAGAAAATGAAAACAAATTCATTACGAGTTTAAGTTATATATACTGAATAGAGACTCACATTGCTATTTTTAGAGCTATCTTGATGAGCTGCCAAACCCAAATACTCTAAAGCCCTCAGACCATCTTCTGCAGTAGTTACTGAACAAAACAGGCAAATCAATGAAATACATCCATCTTTCACTTATACTTTAATACTTGTGTTAAAAGGGGGAGCCAGTTAGGGTCGAGGGCTTTCATTCGAACGGTTTTAAAGAAATAAAAATTATATTCATCTAATTCATATTTTAAACCTCTGAATAAAAATTCTGATTCCGTCACTGATTGATTACACATTTTATGTTAACACAAACAAACATACATACACATGGTCATTATATATAGTTACCAATTTATATTTTGAACCTCTTAATGAAAATTCTGGTATGTTAGCCCAATAAGAATACATACACATGGTCATTATAGCTAAAACAGAATATGTTGATATAATATAATATGTATAATTATGTTATCCAGGCATGTGAATTTCCTATTTTTGGATAAGGAAAATAATTGAGTGATGCACGTTATGAAATACACTGACTAATAAGTCTACAACTATTAAGATTCTCAAAGATTTTACAGCAAGAGAAAAGTAGTGTGATTACGTAGACACAGCTGTTGCCAAATCCAAAAGGTTTGACTTAAAGGATTTGTACAAGTAAATATAGATTTAGTTAATTTTTACTCTACCAAATTGATATTTACTTTAGGCATAATACATATATTAGATTTTAAACTTGATTTCAAATTTTAACTTTGATCTCCAACTTTCATAATGCACAAACAAACACTTTTACTATCCAACTTTTAAATAAATAAACACATGAGTCCTACATGACATAATACACGTAGGACACCAAGTAGGACAAAAAAACATGTAGGATGACATGTGGGACATGTGTGTCTATTTGTTCAACTTTATACAAATTTAAGTGTCTATTTGTGCACATTCAAAGTTGAAGAGCATAAATGTGATTTAAATCCAAGTTAAAGGACATATTTATGTATAATGCCTTTACTTTATATTTATATTTACCTAGAGATTTTGTGTCCGAATGTATATAGATTATAGAGAAAAAAATTTACCCTCAAATGTGAAACTTTCTTCAATGCGAAATACACATAAATTTTTTCTTTTGTGTTTTCTCGGAGAGGTATCTTTGCCAGAAAATTATATTATATAAATATGCTGAAAATAATTTTTTTTGTGATATATGAACAATTGAATCCCTTTGTCATAAGAGAAGATTTTTGTTTAGAGAAAAAGGAAGTGCAAAACTTTGTGGATCAAGTGATTATCATGTTAAAAATTATAGACGAAGGTGCAATTTATTTTTTAACTAAGTCTATTAAGTAAACGTTAAGTTCGATTATGATTTTAACCAGGGCCACAAGCCATTCATGGGTCTTGCAATGGGCAGGATTTTGACATTATCCAACACTTACAAGTTCAAAAAATTGAAGTGTAATATTTTAGTTATGTTTTATAATTCCTTCCCTAAATTTGTGGTTCTAGTGCACAAACTTGAAAGACAATATATAATTCATAATTACATTGGTATCAAGTCTAAAAGATGTACACGCCGACTCAACAACATTGAGGATCTAAAGAGAAATTTAAGAAAGGGGTTCTAATATATTATTATTTTCATCATATACACTTTTATTTAAAATCTAGTTTTCTAGCTATTTTAGATGCGAAGTCATTTGGTACTGTTTTATAATCAATTTGGTTTACTAATTTCTTTTCAAATGATAATATAACAAATACATTCTAACTCTCAATTTTAATTTCGAAAAAACTTCTTCCGATTGAGGCAATAGTTACATGACATGTTAACATTATTCCATAAGCAATATATGTATTTTCTTTTCAAATGATAATATAGCAAATACATTCTAACTCTCAATTTTAATTTCGGAAAAACTTCTTCCGGTTGAGACAATAGTTACATGACATGTTAACATTATTCCATAAGCAATATGTGTATTTGGAAAAGAATCAATTCTTTTCATTTGATTGGGTGTTTCCATTAGATCATTATATTTTGCTTGTATTATTTTCCTTAACACTTTTAATTCAGAAAATAAATTTAAACCATCAATATCAGGATAACTATTGCGTGTTAAAAAAAGTTCAGGGTTAAGACAATATTTTTTAAATTTTCTTCATCTAGTGATCTCTATATTTTATCACTAAGCAAGAAATGAAAAATACTTCAATTGGTTCAAATCTATTTTGAAGTGAAAAAATTGTTTGATCTACTCCACGTATATAAAATAATCAACTCTAAAAGATTCTTCAAGTGACTCTGTGATTTCGTTATCCGTATTTTGATTAAATTGTTTCTTTCGAATTTATTTTCATCTCATATCAATTTCCTTAGTCATCACATTATTGTGAATAAATAAAACAAATAGAAGATTGAATAGTGTGATTACCTTTGCAAGACGATTTCTTGAGTAATATTTCAACAAGTTTACGATCAACAAGATTGTCATCAACAGCTAGGACATGAGGTTCCTCACTTGCAACAACTTCCCCCATTCCCTTTGAAATCGATGATGAATTAGCAAACATTTCCATTTCTTTCGTTATAATTTAATTCGGAAAAATTTCACTTTCACTTTCACGAAATAAATATATATTGGGAGAAAGAAGCAAAAAGAGTTCAAATAAAAGTAATGTGATTGGTGTGTGTATATATATATACTAATTAAAAAGGTGTGATTTGAGGAAGGGAAAGATGGTGAGAATTTTCTTGGGAAAATGATGAAAATAAATAAAATCAAAGAAAGGGATTGTCACAGATATTTGGTGATCTTCATATTTGATTTTCACTAAAACAATATCACTATGTTGATTCCTCCATCCAGCTCATTCCTTTTTTATACATATATTTTAGAGGGAGGTGGCACAGGACAATATTTTAGCCTTACGTACACTTTTGTTTGGATTGTTATTAAGTATTGTTTTATAATATATCCTATTGTATTATACGTCTTTATCCTCATATTTACATTCATATTAGAAAACTTATGTTGTATATTATCGATTGTATTGTATTGTTTTAGTAAATACACTATTTGAATAAATTATTGTGTCATTGTTACATAATGTCATACATTCATGATTCAAATAATAAATTTACAAAAAAAGTAGAGCAAGCAATAAAGATACGGTAAAAATTAGGTAGAATAAAATATGAAATATAATTATTAAAAATAATAAGTAAAAACAAAATGAGAAGAAAATATTAACGTAATAACACAATCACACTAGACTAGTCATTAAATAAAATAATTCTTTTTTTTTGTTACCTAATGATAAATCTATAATTATTAAAAATAATAAGTAAAAACAAAACGAGAAGAAAATATTAACGTAATAACACAGTCACACTAGACTAGTCATTAAATAAAATAATTCTTTTTTTTGTTACCTAATGATAAATCTATAATTATTAAAAATAATAAGTAAAAACAAAACGAGAAGAAAATATTAACGTAATAACACAATCACACTAGACTAATCATTAAATAAAATAATTATTTTTTTGTTACCTAATGATAAATCTATAATTATTAAAAATAATAAGTAAAAACAAAACGAGAAGAAAATATTAACGTAATAACACAATTACACTAGACTAGTCATTAAATAAAATAATTCTTTTTTTTTGTTACCTAATGATAAATCTAAATAATACAATTAAATAAAATTTAAGTAATAATTAAAGTGAACATCGTATTAACAACTACCCAAACTTACTTTTAACTTGTATATACACATTAATAGGGTAAAAATATTAGTCAATTAAAAGATAAGTCTAGTCTAGTTAATAAATAAGACGGCGGACAACTTGCTAAAACAGTGAAATTATTCTAATAATGTAAAAATCATAATTACATTATCAATGAATATAACCTAAAAATTACTTAATTTGTTAAAAAAAAAAAGTAGCAAGTCACAATATTTCAATAAAATGGCGGAATATGATGCAGAATATGTGGTGCAAAAATAAAAAATAAAAAATGATTTTGGAAATAAATGATAGCGTATCCAGCAAAATCGTTATAATTAATGGGACCAAATCTGCTTAAAATTTGCTACAATTAATTTTCACCAACAGAGATGTGTTGTGTCAAGAACTCATAATTACGAAGCATGCAATCAATGCTGATTTAATTTCATCGTTCAATTAAGTTGCATTCATTGTGGCCGCCTACAGTACTTCTCCAATAAATTCTTTCAAACTTTTTCCATAGTTTTAAGTTCAAAAGAATTATTGGAATGTTTTTCATGTTTTATCATTTATTTAATGAGATACTATTTTAAATTTTCATTTGAAAATAATCAAAAGAATAACAGCAGATAATAATCTTTAAATATTTTTTAAAAAAAATATTTCACATCCCAACAATTATATCACTAATATAGATCGGAGAGAATATTTAAATTGTGATTTGACTCCTCTCAATAGTTCGTGCTATTTTTTTGTGGCAGTTCGATATTGTTTCTATATTTTATTTTCGCAATATGAGTGTGTGACTTGTTATAATTGATCCTATTGATGGCTAGTACAGAGAACGAGTCTATCATCTTGATAGAGATATTCGAATATTTGGAACATAGATTAAAGAAATTTTAAACTATGATTCACACTTAATATTCAGGAGTCCAGAGCCTAAAGGGTACAAAATATTAACAAAAATTCTAAAACGATATATAAAATTTTATATTAACCAAAACGGTAAAATCGCTGAACCAACAGCGACTTACCCCACCAGAAAAAGCAAAATCGCTGCCTCTGCAGCGATTTTACAAAATCTGATTTTTTTCTTTTAAAAAAATGAAATCGCTGCCTAAGCAGCGATTTATAGAAAAAAGAAATTTTAAAAAATAGGAAATCGCTGCTCCAGCAGCGATTTCAAAAAAATATATATTAAAATATTAAATCGCTACCTTATGAAATCGCTACCGGCAGCGATTTCCTTAACTTTTTAAAAAAAAATTATGAAATCGCTGATGGGAGCAGCGATTTCTTTATTTTTTTTTTATGAAATTGCTGTTGGGAGCAGCGATTTCTTTGTATTTAAAAATAATAATAATTTAAAATCGCTGTTGGGGCAGCGATTTCCTATTTTTTAAAAAAGAAAAAAATTGAAAAATCGCGGCTGGGGCAGCGATTTCCTTTTTTTAAAAAAAAATTATAAATCGCTGCTTCATTTTTTTAAAAGAAAAAATCAGATTTTGCAAAATCGCTGCAAAGGCAGCGATTTTGCTTTTCCCGGAGGGGTAAGTCGCTGTTGGTGTAGCGATTTTACCGTTTTGGTTAATATAAATTTTTATATACCGTTTTAGAATTTTTGTTAATATTTTGTACCCTTTAAGCTCCGGACTCTAATACCTAGGAATCCATGTTAAGCCTTTTCTAAACATTTGCTCGAGAGATAGTTATCTATACACTGATAAGGGAAGTATAAATTCTCGAGAAGAGAAGAATTGTGATGATCCCTTTCGAACCGCTCAAATCCCACAAGTGAATAGAAAATTGAATCTCTCGACCTATCCTCCTGAGAAGGGATTTGGTTTCAAATCCCGACTCGAACGCACTTAAATAAGTGGCGTAAATTATATCACACTAACAAGTATAAAAGTTCATTTATACAACAAATATAAAAAAGCCCATTTTTTGATACATAATGAAACAACTACAGGCACCAACTAAAGATTAAAACTATTCTCTTATTTCATTTTTGGTTGAAACCAAATCCGAATTAAGTCAAATGCACGCTGTTCTCATAGGAAGAGATTTTACTCAATAACTAATAAACACTGTTTATGCTTATTGAAAATTCATTTGGGGAATTGGAAGAGTGGATTTTCAATTTAATTGGGAAGAAATCATATCTTGATTAAAGATAATAATATACCGTAACAAAAAGATCCCATATTTATCCTTAGTATTATCACATCTTGAAATAAAATAAGAGAAATATAGTATATTTACTCCTAAATCAAAATGGATCTCCCTTCTCCAAGTGGTGTAGTTGTTAATTAATAGATGAAGGAAGATCCGATTGGATATTTTTTTTTATAAATAAGATGCAATTTGGGCTAAATGAATCTTGGAAACCAGATTTTGTGATACGGCAGATAATATTGTACGGAATTTGTGAAACTTCCAATATCTTTCTACACTACACTAGTATATGTAGGTCCAAAAACACCCAAGTTTGTGCCAACATATCAAATCATTTTAAAGGATATTACTTGACATGATTGATTGCATTTCACATAATCTAATAAACAAAAAAAACAACATACAGGATGTGCATGCTCTCTCATTCGACATGACCAAATCCATCTAACAAATCTAGGTTCAATAGTTACATCTACGAGCTAACCATTGACCGATGGACATCTTTTATTGCACTATTTCTCTATTGGGCATAGACTTTTCTCTGTAGAAGTTTTCTACTATTTAGCATCCCCATTAGGCTCATGTAAGGCCATGTATGAGAAGGGTCCCCCTCTCGCTTGTCAAATCTAATCCGAGAATGATTAGCTAGCTTATGATGGTCAATTCAACATATTCGTTTTTTTGCTCCTGCTTGGTAGGCATTTAAGGGGGCAAGAAGTAAGAGTTTATAATTGAAGTCGGAGAAGGGGGACTAATAAGAGCATGGAAATGATCATTTATGACCACTAACAAATTGATGAGAAGAATGACATTTTCACATCTTCAAGTAAAAACCAAACTCCCACGAGAACTCTATAACTATTGAAGAAATGTATCTGCAACGCTTTAGTTTTGAAGTTCTCTTTTTGACTATAGACTAAACACGTACAACAAAATCAGTTACTATGCTTTTTCAGGAAACCCCTCTCTTCTGCTAACCTTAGCCCCCAAAAAGAACGGTATTCATACGAGTTTTAACAATGCATTTCCAACAAAGATGCTACAATGATATTCTTCTGCTGACAAGTGCAATCACTTGACGGTTGCTCGGGGAATCGAAGATGTGCATGGTCCAGCAGATGTCATGAATGGGATACCTTTGAATGTAGCAACTCCTTTGTCATCAGTGAAAAGGTTCTGCAATTCACATGACAGATATCTAAATGGAAGAAGGAAATGATGTGTAATCATTTTTCATACCATGTTTGGAAAGACATTTCTATTTCCTTACCAAAATATTATATAACTCAAAGTGTTACCATGAACTTATTTTCACAGTTCTGACATAAAACACAGACTCTCTATCGCTCTTTAGCTAAATAATTGAAAACTGTAAAAGAACAACCCCGTCTCTCCAGCTAACTAATCAGTCTCATTTTAATAACGTTGTTAAGCTGCAACATGAAGTTTTCACAAGCCTCATGCATTCTTATGTTTGGGAAGTTGACCAACCTTGATAGATAAGGACTATTTGTATTAACTAATTAGATAAGATTAACATATTCATAAAATTCTAGATTACGTACCACAGCAATTTTCTCAAACTGCTTCTTTTTAGGATTCAGAACATCTTCTGGTTTTCCATCATGCCTACATAGATAAATGAAGAATCACGAATTAATGAAGTAAATTGTTACCATAACATAATCTTCATCTTCAGTTAAAAATTCATAGTACCAAAAAAGACAGTCATAATGTCATATTCAGCATAACAGCACACTTACACAGAGGAAACACATGCTAATTATCCATTAGTATTAGTATCAAAAGATGTGGGAGAAAAAACACAGAGGAAACACATGCTAATCATCCATTAGTATAAGTATCAAAATGTGGGAGAAAAACATCGGAAAAAGAGAATATTGGATGTTGAGGTCAGTCAAGCACTGACAACTGAATATCTAATGGCACTGAAATTTCAAATGTTTCCTTTTTCACAAAATCACCTTCCAGTTGAAAGACTTACTTCCTGTATTCTCTGCTTCTTCAGAAGATGGTAACTATAATCCAAAATCCTTGTACCATTAGACAGAACTTAACAGGTAATGGCAGAAAGGCAGAGCCCAATAAAAGCGAAAATGACACAGATGATTTGTGAAGGAAAGGTAAGGTTCTATTAGTATAATATTTATTTTTATGAAGAATTTTTGTATTAATACATCCCACGTAATATATGTTATGTGAATCAGTGCCAAAAATCAAGCAGACAGAACTAGAAATTTGAATTTATGCAATACCAACAGGCTTAGCTACAAACATACCCAGCAAATGAGATGCATTCCCCAACTTTGGCACCTTCTGGTGCTACAAGAGGCTCCACCACAGTATGATCTTCATTAGAAGCACATAATACCTATAAAGGAAATTAAGAAAAAAGATTTAACCGTAAAGAAATGAGAGATAGCACGGGGAACAGAGATAATACTATGAAAGATTAACTGGAGCTAGACTACTCTACACATTCCACCACTGATCTTTTTACATATATAGTAGTACCTAAATTTTCCTATGTGCAAACAAGAATAATCTGAAATTCAAACTGCTTAAATGGAAGATATGCTAACTAGCTTAACCACGTCTAGATATTGAATAAAGAAAAGGACCATAGAGGCCAAAAGTTTTAGACAGACACTTTGACCGGATCCACATAGCAAATGAAAAAACAAATAAATTATATTAGGGAAAGGAAGTAGATCATTTAATACAAGGCAAAAGGTTCAGTAGCATATGCTAATGTGAAGTTGGTCATAGCTAAGATGGGATATAATACCATTCCCTCTGATATGACATCACGTAATTTTGATGGTTTCATGTTTGTCACAAGCACCACAAGGCGATTCTGCATGCACAACAACAAGAATAAATTAATTAGAAGAAATAGAAGCTCCCAAATGATACAGCAAATACAATTCAGAGATGCCAGAAATAGGCACATATGAATGCTTAACAACAGAAAGCATACAGTTAACTGTTCTGGACTGCAAAACTTAGCCAGGCCACTAACTACTTGCCGACATTTTGCTTCTCCAACATCTATCTCCTCAACCAGTAAGCTGTACACAGGGATAAACCAGGAAAAGGTTTTACAACTAATTAAGTAACCGTATAAAGTTGCTAGGGAGGGGACAAGTTTAGGGAAAGAGACTACAAAAAACAAATGAAAGATTAGCTATAATACCTCTCAGCTGATGGATGTTTCCATGCTTTTTTAATGTGGCCAATCTGTAATTTTAGCAAACTAACACTGATATCTTTATCTTTGTCATCTACCTTCTCAGGCAACTTCTTTTCTGCAGAAGTTTGATTATCTGCAGCAGCTTTCTTCTTCAGAGATTTTAAGGGATATGTGTTAGAAACTGTTCAAACTTGAGCAATTTCAGAGAAACTAAAAACTGGAAGCATCGAGCATGTGCCACTATAACAATTAAGTCATACCAGAGTACCTAAGATTGCAACAAAGACGCTAATAATAAGAAATGACAATATTTTCTACTGTCACAGATTGAAGAAAGCAATACAATTTTTCGCTACAGTTGTAACAAACTGTCTAGAGAACAAGAAACAAAAATGTTATAATTGTAGGAGGAATAAAAACAATTGAAAGGTGAACTGCTAAAACCACATACCACGCCACTATTGTTCTTTTTTTTGGAGTCAACATCTGAACTACTAGCCGGTTTGGTCTCTGTGTCAGTTTTTTTGGCATTTGACTCTACTTCTACCTTCTTCACACATTTTGCTGCCTGAATCAATGTCAGAGAAAAAAGGATATTAATATAAGCCCATTCTTGGGCATCGTTGAGCCTAAAAGTTGCTCCCTCCGTCCAGCTTTACTTGTCCCGAATACTAAAAATAGTTGTCCAACTTTACTAGTCCAATTTGGATAAACGAGATAAATTACCATTGTGTTTTTACCGTGGCTATTAAATGCTATTCATTTTCCAACATTTAGATGACTTATAATTAATTGGAGGTGATATAGTAAAATTACCCATTTATTTATTGTTTTTTTCCAAGGTGTGCCAAGTCAAACGTGAACAAGTAAAGGACGGAGGGGGTATTTTAGATAAGGAATGATTCAAATCAAGATAGTATAATAATTAGAAAGGGTTATTGATGATAGGAACTTCTAAAATAAAATATTTCATGGTAGTTTCCAAAAGCAACAACATGTAGTATCACATATCTCCATTTCTACTTTCAGTTTTGAAAACCGTTAAAGGTGTTCAATTAGAGAACACTACATTAGTGATGGACAGAGGGAGTAATTGAGACAAGGAATGATTCAAATCAAGATAGTATAATAATTAATAAGTGTTATTGATGATAGAAACTTTTTAAATAAAATATTCCATGGTAGTTTCCAAAAAGTATCACATATCTCTATTTTTACTTTCAGTATTGAAAACCCGTTAAACGTGTTCAAATTAGTGATTAGAGTGGAAGTTTTTGCTCCTGTTCTGGAAATTGGAAATGTAGCAATGCATGGAAAATGGAGTTGAAACAAGTCAAAAAGCAAATCAACTCTGCTCTCAAGCTAATTCTTCAGAAAGTCTTAGATCATTACAATATAGGCATTACTCACAGGTGGCTCAAATTGGACTTTCTCCAGCAAAATTTTTTGGAATGCGTCTCCGACGTCACCTTTAGTCTGCGCAAAAATAGATAAATTCAACACGCATGCTCTTGTTCAAGATAAATCTATGAGCAACTAAATGTATGCAAAAGATTTAAAAAGTTTAATTAATACAAAAAGTGATTTGTTGTTTAAGCAGTTGGTGATTATTTTGCAAGGACAAGCCATCATTAGAATGGATTAGACTTGCAATGAAAAAAATAATTTCTCACAATTCATGATAGAAGAAGTAAACACATCAATAGATACTTAAAGTTGCCACCAACTGCTAGATACACTTTATAAGTGACCATTTAGACACCCTCTACACGGCAAAAGGGTGTCTCTTGGGAGCCGGAACCTATTTGAGCTACAAAGAGATAAAATTGACCCAAACAAGCCACTATTCTAGCATGTAACTAAAATAGGCTTAGTGCAAAAAAAATCCGTTTTATCCAATATTCCAAACGGCTTTTGTTAGTCTCTTAATATCTATATTTTAATATAAAACGGAACCTTTTTTTCCACTTTATAAAGTGTAAGTAAACAAAGTGTAAGTTTTACTTACACTTTATAAAGTGTATGTTTTTCTTACACTCAAAAGAAAAGTTACCTTTACCTTTTCACTTTTCTTTCTTATTCCCCTTTCACTTACATGGAAGATTTCCTAAAAAATTCACTTCGAAGATTTCAATTTCGTGGTCCCAACCCAAAATGAAAACCCCGCTCCTACGCAATAGCTCGCGAACCACCTTTTGAATTAAAATATTTGCAAATATATGTTATTGCTATCAAATTTTGGGTATTTATATATGCAATTACATATTTTAAGTATTTTGGTAGTATGTGGTGCCTCAATTCAAAAAGGCGAGTGCCTCGCCGCAAGGCAAGGCAAACCCTCGTCGCCTTTTGCCGTCCAAAAGACTGGGCCTTAGAAGAACCCTGGAGTAGAAAATGAATGAACTAGAAAGTAGGACCAGGAGACCAGTTGTGCCTACAAAAGCATTATTAAGTTGAAAAACCAAATAATTTTTTTATAGTATTTGCCCTTGAAAGCGTATGATTACTTCTTCTTAGGCCCCATTCACTCAATTAAAACATACCACATGACACAATTGAAGAACAAAACTAAATGAGCCAATTTAACATTTATGGCATGGTTAGTAGACCAGCAGAGTTTTCACTCTAAAATACTATTGCAATCTATCAAGAGCGCGGTAGAATTTTTTAAGAATATGGAGATTTCCAAGGAAAGAATAATTTCTTCACATGTTTTTGTCCAAAAGGATAATGTAGGGAATTTCACTTTGCAATACTCTAGGTTAACTAGTTGTTTTGTTCTAAAAGATTTAGAACACAAGAGTGAAAAACGCAAATATTTTTCACTCTCGTTTCTATCAATCCCGCGGGAAGTTATTTTCCTATTTGTTTAATAGAAAAAAAATAAAAAAGCTACACACACAAGAGAAAAGGTTAGGAAGCTACTCCCTTCGTTCCAGTTTATTTTGCAGCATTTCCTTTCTAGTTTGATCCCAAAAGAATCGAAGCTTTCCAAATTTGGAAACAATTTAACTTAAAATCATGGCATGTTTTAAGCCCACAAGTTTCAAAAGTAGTATAGCCACACAAATGTTATGACATGTTTTTCGAATGGGAAATATTATGGCATGTTTAAGAGCACAATTTTCAAAAGTCTTTGTTTCTTTACAAAAATGCATGCCTATTTAAACGCTGCTCAAACTTTGCCACAAAAATTGAAATGGAGGGAGTATCTATGATACCCAGCTCTATTTATTTTTTTAATGTTATGAGTGTATATTGGAATGTCCACACTGTCGAATTCCCTAAATACATTAACATAAACATTTACATTCATAGTGCACAATACTTTTCGATTTCCATGTGATGGTGAATCTCCAAAACCTTGTACAGAACTTACTTTCACAATTGGAGAACACAAAGCAACACATTAGCCCCATATCTTCTCCCCTCAAATTAATAAAAGAACACACTCAACTACAATGATAATTAAGTGTGCCAAATCTCGACAAGTTTTTTCAATTTCCTGGTCAAAATTGTAATAGTAACCACCAAACAAGGAAAATCATGACAGCAAGTCAGCAACCTTTTTTTTTATTCCTTTCAATAACCTACATCCTCTCTCAATTACTCATTTCGCAAGTTGAAGAAAGTCACAGATAATCATGGCAAATCAGTTGAAAGTTCTATCTTAAGTAGACTGTAGAGCAACCAGCAGGCATCGCCAGACTCACCACATCTAGGCCATCATGTAAGCCTTTCATTTGACACTATATACTGCAGGATGAAGATCCTGGTTTCCATATATTACCACTATCTAAATTTCAATATGAAAATCTAAAAATCTGACACAAACTCTAGTATACCTGGATATAGTCCATCCATCTAAGCAAGTACGGCAATTTGTTTCTGTCAGAGTTTGAAAGACTGATCTGGTGGCAGAGAATTATGATAGCATGTTAGAATAGAGAGTGAACCGAGAACGTTTATATCCAAAACAACAATATCTTTCAATTAAGGAACAGACAAAGCTGAACAACTAAGAAACCACCTCGCATACAGTTAAAACAGAGAAAATAAGAACCTAATTGACTAAAGTCAATAGAATCTTTAACATTTATGCCTAACATGAAAATCAAATATCATGTTTGAGTAAAACATAACTTTAAGGGTGTATTTTGTATGCCAGAAAATGTTTTACTTAAAAAAAATCATCTCCAAGGGAAGATTAAAAAAACATTTCCAAGAGACATATTTGCAGAAAATTTTTCTTTCGCACGTATCTGAACTCTCATTCAATATTACTGATCAGACAAGTAATAAGAGACTTTATAGATGACTTGCAATAATCCAAATAATTACATAAAAGTGCAATTCCTCAATTGTACTTAGCATTGCATCTACATCATGTACAAGGAATAGGCTGCAAAAAAAATGCTTGCAAGAAAATACATATGTGTTTAAGCCGTTAAGGCCAAATATATTTCTTCTTTTCCTTCAAAAATCCTGCTATTTCTTTAATCAAAACTGTCCACCAAATAGCTTGATGAATAGTATTTTGGGATTCCTTGTTGAGACGCGCTCTATTCAAACTATGCAGCAGTCCATCATGGAGTTTGTCATAGTCCAATATGTGCCAAGTATTGCAAAAAGTAACTCCAAAGAAGTCTTGTGACCTTATAGTGGTGCATAAGGTCACAAACTTATTCTATATGCTTGTACATAAAAGGCATCTGCTACATAATTGTATCCTTCTTTATTGGAGGTCAGTTTGATGAACTCTTGATCATATTACTTTTTTTGGGGGTTTCTCATCTGGTGTTCGGTACCCAAATTTGAGCCGGAGTTATCCGGATTCACACCGCGTAGGGCCCCATTCGGGGGGGGGGGGGGGAAGCACTCCCTACCAAGGATACTTAGGGCTTGAATCCGAGACATCTAGTTAGAGGAGAGCAGTCTCATCCCCTACACCAGATCCTTTGGTGGTTGTTTAATATTACTTGCTTCAATTACAATTTATAATGCCAGCATTATCTTTATTCTTCATTTTCATTACTATTATGGCTACTTATATTCTGCTTATCTTTACTATATTGTTGTCAGTATTTTGCTTATCTTATTCTTCATTTTCATTATTATCTATGTTACTTTTACTTTGGTTACCTTCACTATTATTGTTGTCAGTGTTTTTCTTTTTCAATATTTTCATCCTAACTTTTTACTCTAGAATATTTTTCATACATGGTCTGAATAACAATTTTCTTGAGCCGAGGGTCTATTGGGAACGTCTCTACCCCACAAAGGTAGGATTAAGGTCCGCGTACCCACCCTCCCAGACCCGGATTACACTGGATATGTTGTTATTGCAGCAATATTTATTCCAATACTACTGCTTGCATAATTACCATATGTCACCTACTTTCATACCTAACCAAGCACTCAAAAATAAGTAAATTAAAACATTCCCCACTGAAAATATTTTCCTCAAACCAAAAGCACCTAAAGAGAAGGAAATGTATACCACGGATGAATGCACAGCGGCAAAGACAACAATATCAGCTTCTGAAATCTTCAACCCGTTGCCCAAAATAACAGACTTCTTACTCAAATCCTCATTCAACTCACTTAGAGCTTTAAGGCTTGTCCCAGAATCAACAGGGAAGTTACTCGCAAATTCGATCCACTTCATTAACTAGAATGAAAATTTGATTTCAATGTCAAATTGGAACTAAAAAAATCAAAAACTCAATACAGAAAACTAGGAACTGTTGAAATATTACCTCATTATCTTTTGTGATAGACGGCCCACTTGGGGAAGAATTGAAAATGTCTATACACAAGCTTTTAATGTCTTTATCCAAATTAGTTGAATACGAATTCTGCATAGTTTAGCATCAAAAATAATCCGTTAACACTGATATTCAATTTACAACATACATTTCAACTTAATCATTGCATACTATATAAAATTTGAGGACTAAAAATCTTACAGGGTCTAATGACAACGTTGAAAGGTGCTTGCATAGAGCTGAAACAATGTTTTGCTTGCGATCTGCAGCTGCCATGGTTCAATTATTTGGTATGTTTACTTCTTCAACTTCACTTCAATTGTTCAAATTCACCAAAAAAAAACGGATTTTGTAGGGTTTTGTTTTCCCGGTTGTGGGCCGGAGCATCATTGGGAATGTTATGCCCATGTTGAAAACGGGCCATATGTATTTAGAGTTGCCAAGGATTTAAGCCCAGTGATCAAAGCGGTGATTATCGATGGACAACTTTCATATATAGCAAACACAAAATTTATATTTGTATGTTATAGCAAAGTTTGCATAATTATACTTTTAGCAAACATATATATGTATAATTCACTAGACATATACAATTGAATCGAATGGTATAAAACGAGAAAGGGAAAAAGACAAAAGAGACTTGGACAGAAAATATACAATTGAATCGAATTGTATAAAATGAGAAAGAATATTCTGCATAATGTAATGAATGATGCTTTGAGTACTACTTTAAGGACTTGGGTCGGTTAATTGTTGTATCGATACAAGACTTTAATTGCTTGCAGTAATATGTATATGTTACTTTATCTAGTTGTCCTAATTTGTTATTTCCTTATAGTTAGATATGTGATTCTTATCTTTTTGTTTACTTTACTCAGCCTATTTCTCCAGAGGAGGAGAAAAAATTGAAGGAGACATTGCAAGAGGTGAGGAGAAAAGGGAAGAAGGTGAACATTAAACAGAAGATTAACCGTTGTATCGATACAAGATACTAAAACTTTTTCTTAAGAAAATTCTCAATGACAAAGATTTGCATCTGTTTATGATGTTGATTCCTTGTTGTATTGTATAATTATAGCTATATAGGACGATTATATACAATTTGAATTTGTATAAAACGAGAAAGAGCCAGAGAAAGGCAAAAGAGATTTGGGCATGGAATATACAATTAAATTGAATTGTATAAAACGAGAAAGAGAGAAATTATATACAATTTTAATTTGTATAAAACGAAAAAAAAAAGAGAAAGACAAAAGAGACTTGGGCAGGAAAAAATTTGTATTGTATAATTATAAATGTATAGGACGAAGAATATGTATTTGCATGTGTATATATACAATTTTCTCTCGCTTTATATAAACAGAAACGCAATTTATACACTTCTATTGTATAAAGCGAGAGAAGCAAGCGAGAGAGGGAGAGTGGCGACCGAAAATATAAGGAGAGAGCGACTGACAAACAGTTTGCTATGGAACACAAATAAATCAAACGGTAACTACTGTATCTATTTTACATTATTAGTTTGTCATTTTATACAATTATCCCATGAATGTATGAGGGTTGCATTATTTTAGGATAAATTTTAGAAATCACATAGTTTTAATATGAAATTATAATCCATCTCTTTTTAGTTTATAATTATATTAATTCCTTAAAAAGTACTAACATAAATTGAATACATAATATTTAGTTCGGATACATTAAAGAGTATCTCAAATACATTATGACATAAATCGGATACATAATATGTAACTCAGAAACATTAAAAACTAGCTCGATACATAATATGCTGCTCGAATACATTAAAAACTACCTCGAATACACTATAAAATAAACTTGATATGTAATATGTAGCTCGGATACATTTAGAGGTGACAATTGGGCGAATTGGATCAAATGTGGGCGGGTTGAAAATGGGGTAAACATAAAATGGGTAATCATTCAACCCTCCCATATTTGATATGAGTAAAAATAAGTTGGGTAATAAATGGGTCGGGTAAAATACTAGTTTACCCATATTTAATTTTATTCATATTTTTATGGATAAATAGTACTTTACTTAAGAATTCAATATGGAGAAGATATTTTAGTTTTTTTTTTAAATGAAATGTTAAACATGCTTAATTTAGTTTTAGTGTATCATAAAAATAAAATAAAAAATCCTATAACTTTTCAATATAAAACAAATTTATGTAATAACAAGATGATTTTTTTTAATTTCAAAGTAAATGATTTTTTGCATTTTAGGACTAAAACATACTTAATACACTTTAAGCAATGTCAATACTAATACATGAATTTGCGTAATACACTATTATTGATTATCCAATATAAAATTAAATAAATAAATAAAATATAATTACAATTAACAAAAGAAATGTATTATTTAAATTATATATTTTTGGTGATATCATGAATTTTGAGTGAATAGAAGTTAGAAGTACAACTCATTTAACTAGTTCATACTTTACCCATATTTTATTCATAATTTATCCATATTTTACCTATATTTTTATGGGTCAAATATGGGTATCAACCCATATTTTATCCATGTGAAAAATCACTCTCCCAACCCATTAAAACATGGAAAGTTTGGATGGGTCACCAAAAAATGGATTCATTTTACCGACATTAAAGAAATAAGGGATTTAGAGATTTTTAAAAATAAAAGAGAATATTGAAAATAAGAGAAATATAAAACGTGTATTTCAGTAATTTTTTTATTATTTTAGTCTTTGATATATATATTTATACTCAAATGGTCCTCCATGTATGTATGCAAAAAGTGGATTGTTTTGGTCCAAAATCGTAGATGTAGCGGTCTTTTTAAACACCTCACTAAACAACTGTGTATATCTCATAAAAGAACAAACTTTGAATACCCTCAAAGAATATTATGTTCTATCAAGTGTTTTTGTTCCTTACATATTCAATCATATAAGAAAAATATAAATTTAATTAAGAATCTCGTACATCTTTATGGGTTTTTTTGCTACCTAAATAAGGTGTTAGGTCGTATGTATATTATATGTTACGTGGGCTTCGATGAATTCAACCTTCCATTTAAAATTTACGCCTCTATATGTAAATCATAATTACCCCGTTACTAACTTTATATATAGTTCATCCATACTCAATTCAGGTCTGCCTACTACTTCACCTTTTATGGACTATCCAGCTCTAACGCCTTAATATTTTAGGAGGGAAATGGATCCATATTTCAGATTAAACAAAAAGAATTGGTAACCTTGAGTGTTGCAAAGAATGTTTTGTTGCCAACTCGAAGGACATGACTATATTGAAACATTCATTCTAGTAATAAAATCATCCATCATTTGGGATGTGGTACAGTCTAAAGCAATGGATTTTGCAATAATTAGGTGTACAAAATATCTTTATTGATAACAATTTTTTTATAAAGAATATTTAAAAATTCTGAAGGTAACATTAGTCTAAACATCAATTACTCATTTTCATTATAACTTCAAAACTAGAAATGATAATTTAAAAAAATTAATGAATTTCTCAAAAATTGAAATAACTTGATTGAAATCGGATGCAAAAACTATATGAAACTTCCGTATCATCTTGAAATCTAATGGGTTTATCAATTTGTTCGAAATACAAGAAAATATTTAAATAAGATTTTAAAATTAAAGAGAGTAAATCTAATAGTAATAAAAAAAAAGTGAAGTTGCAGTAAGTAAGAAAGAGAAAATATAAAAAGTAAAATAATAAGAAAAAAATTAAAATATTTGTAGTTAAACTACATATTAGTTATTTTAGGTTGCTCACTCTATTTGAGAGAGTGCACACGCTCTATGTCATGTAAACAAAAAATGATATAATAATGTCAATTCAAGACTGTTTGGTGGGGTAATAGCACGTCCGCATAGTTAAAATGTTTTTTTTTTTGAAAATTCAGGACAAGTTCATGTGTCACTTTATGCCTTTCTATATGTGTAATGTAATGTACGAAATATTTGAGACCTTCTTTTAGTTGATGAAGTCATAATACTCTAGTACTCTATTATACGAATATATACTAGTTGAAGTTGAACAAATTATGATTATCGATTTACCATATCATAAAATACCAAAATTAAACATTAATATATCAAATCATACCGAATTAAATTGGTATGATAACATATAATATTTTAAAAATTAAATACCAAAATTATGATATTAAAATTTACAACTACCATATCATCCACCCCTAAATCTCAACAATTCAACAACTCTAACTGTATAATAGAAAGCACAAATATAAAATTATTACTCTTATTGATCCAAATTATAAGTCAATATTGATTGTGTTTTATATAAAACATGAATTGATCATGCTCATTTGGAAACGCATGACATGACATCGTGACAAAAAATGAGAAAAACAGAGGTACTTTTGTTTCATGTTATAATGATGGAAACAAAGTTTGTCTTCAAACCACTAATGAATATTTTATGTCCCACCTCATAAGACTTGTAACATAATTTTAGTAGCAATCTGAATTTGTATCTTATCCATGACAGTTGAATTTCGAATCTGTAATTTTATTAAATTTTTTAATAAAAAGAAGGTTAAGTGGCAAAGATACTTTCACTAGATTAATTGTTTGAAGTGTAATCTTTTGATTTTGGGAAGATACTCCATTCGTTTCATTTTTCTTTGACTTTTATGTAAAGAATAACTATTTGATTTTACTTGTTTATGTAGTAAATTTATTTACTTTTTACATTTTTCCTTATACGTATCCTTCATATTAAATAACAATAGAAAATAGTACTCTCTTTGGTTCATACTAAATAAATTATTAAGGCTTTTTTCATATTTATCCTTTATTCAATCAAATTTTTAATTACTTCTCATTTTTATTATCATAGTCAGAAAATATCTCCAGTTTATGGTTTAGTTCAAAAATATCCTTATCGTCAATATTTTGATTCAAAAATATTTCTATTGTTATTTAATAGGATAATGCAGAAGTACCACCGCAATCTATGCCCGAAATCTCAAAGAAACACTTATACTATACTAAGGTCCTATTGCCCCCTGAACTTATTTTATTAATAATTTTCTACCCCTCCGGTCTACGTGACACTATCTTGTGGGCCCAACGCTGATTGACTCTTTTTTCAAGTTAGTGTTACGTAGGCCGAAAAGTGGTAGAAAACTACTTATAAAATAAGTTCAGAGACGTAATAGGATCTTAGTATGGTATAAGTGTGTCTCTGAGATTTCGAGCATAGGTTGAGGGGGTACTTGTGCATTTTCACTTATATAATGGATCAAAATGCATATTTTCTAAACAGGCAAAATCCATAATTAGCTCTCAACCTATGCCTGAAATTTCAGAGATACACTCATATTATACTAAG